CCTTAGAAATTGTAGATGTCATGCATGCCTTATCATTTTTAAATTTTCTGTATCCAGATACCCCACTAGCTAAACCAAGTATTCAGAGAATAAGGAGATTGTCTACTTTCATTTTTCATCATGCATCCCATCCATGGAGCCAGCACAGAGCTCTTGTTTGGCTGGTATTCTCACTTCCTTCTAATTTTATTTTATTTGGCCATAATTGTATGCTCGAAATCTAAATTATGTACTTCCAGTATTTCTTAAACAGATACCAGCATGATTTAGTCACATCTGATTCAGAGCAATAAGCCAATGTAGAACTTGAACTTCTTCTGCTTAACTCTACCTGCTAAAATAAAATTTCTCCTTTTTGTATTGATTTATGAGGAGAACTAAAGTTACTGAAAGAAAGGGAAGATAAGAGGGCCTGAGGTTGCATATTGGATGCTATCTATGCTACAATATTGCTGAAATGAAAACTAACCAGCCCTTCATTTAGACTTATGACAATCAAATCAATTGATGTCATTCTGTTCAGCTTCTTACAAAATTTGCTGGCCCTATGTTTGCTGCACTTTCTTAGCACTTTTATCTCTCAGAGTTGCTTTATTTGCTGTAATGGTTTAATTTATCGTCAACTTTGCTCGCCCCTATTTGCAGCTTTGTTTCACCCGCCAGTTCTGGAGCTCTATAAACCGGTCTGATTACATGGCTTTGCGTTTTGGCTTCATCACTGTATGTTTCTTCTAGCACCTCTTCTTTTTTTCTCTTTGTACGTTTTAACTTTTCAAGGAGATCTGAGATCTACTATTTATTTTTCTTTCCGGAGTCCGATTATATTAGAAAAGTTGGCTTAACTGTGACATCTGGATTCTAAGTTTTGTATGATTAGATATGTTTGCAAAAAGTAAGTCATATTAGGTTCTTATTTGTTTCCATCTTATTTAGTCATTCACAGTGCAAAAGAATGTGGCAGTAAAGATCATGGGGCTAGCTTTGCATTGCTGACTCTGCTGTGTTTCCCCTCCTTAATGTAGACTCATCAACTTCCTTTGTCATATGATTTCCACAATTATATGATTCGGAGCATGGAGGAAGAATTTCGAGATATTGTAGGCATCAGGTATTACGTTATGTGTAAAAAGTTGATTTCTATGATGAACCTTTCTGGTTTATTCCTGTCAACAGAGGCTTTAGTGAACTTTTGGATTGCTTTTACATTATTTACATTGTTATATTATTTGGGATGCTTTTGCAGTTTACCTCTCTGGATATACACCATATGTTGCACTATTCTAGACTTTCATGGTAATTTTCTGCTAGTGCCAAAATTTTAATTTTAGGCAGTGAAAAATCCTGGAAAAGTTAATCTTACAGCATCAATTGTTGTTTCTACCATTCAGGAAGCCACATTTACTTTTGGCTTTCCTTCCTTCCAGCCATAGTAAGCCATCCATGTTCTCCATCTCCTTGAGCTTTTCCGAGTTCATCATCTTTCGAAGTCACACTCACACTACATAATTAAATTATTTCTTGAATTGCACATCAGTTGATCCTGCTTATTGGGACGAAACTGCATCGAGTGGTGGTAAAGTTGGCTGTTGAAATCACGGAAGAAAGTCCATATATGGAAAATCAACAGTTTAAGCTAAAAGATGAGCTCTTTTGGTTTAAGAAGCCCTGGCTTCTTTTACGTTTAATACAACTAATATCCTTCCAGGTGAGAATCACTAACACTAACACTAACAATCCATTTTGTACTTTAAATTCTGTTTTTCAACTGTCCTTATCTTCTACTGGTATTTGTTTTTCAGAATGCCCTTGAGATGGCAACTTTTATCTGGTCTCTGGTATGGACCTCATGACTTGTTCAGAAAGAAATCGATGCCTGCATAAAAGAATAGCTACCTCATTTTGTATATAGGCAACTTTAGTTATGATGCTTGTTTCAACTTTTTTGTTTTCAGTGGGAAATTAAGGAACCTTCATGCTTCATGGACAACAATACTTTCCTTGTGATTCGCTTGACATTTGGGTATTTACCGTACATTGTTGGCTTATTCTCTAGCAACTTAAGTTTGTCGGGTCTATTGGCTATCTAACATTCACTTCAAGGATACGGTTCAAACATATAAATTCTGATGACTTTTTTATATTTTTTATAATCATTGCAGGGTTGTCACCCAATTCTGGTGTAGCTTCATTACATTCCCACTCTATGTCATCATCACACAGGTCTGGCTTCTTAATTTTCATCTCTCTTTAATCCCTCTCTGTCTCTAATTGTTTTCTGTGGCTGCAGATGGGAGCGAGGTTCAAGAAATCTGTAGTTTCCGAAAATGTGAGAAACTCACTATCTGTATGGAAAAGGAGAGTGAAGGCCAAACAAAGCACTTCATCTAGTACTGCTGCACTCTTGAGAACCTCAACATCCTCAGATTCTATAGTGGATGAAATGCACAAAATCGATAGCTTTTCGTCAAACTCTTTGGAGAGAAGCTCCTTCAAGAAACAGAATACATCTTTCCGGCATCTGCAGGGCAATGTGATGCAGGGTGAAGATGAGAAGTTGGAATTTCCGCTGTGTGTTGGTCCAGTTTCTGAAAGTTACAGTGATGACAAGGTTGATTACCAGAGTGACGATCATGATAGTAGTGATGTAAAGGATGAATTGTGTCTCCTTCCATCATAAGCTTGTATACACTTTTGAGCTTAGTTATCACTAGAGACTAGCTTGTATACACTTAAGATGAATTGTGTCTTCTTTGAGCATATATCACTAGAGACTAGCTTGTATACACTTTTGAGCTTAGTTATCTTTATTTAAATACTGTTTTATATGATACATATGGTTAGTAAGATTAGAAGATGTTCTTTTAAAGTAAGATTAGAAGATGTCGAAAACCAAATGCATAAACTTACCCTTAGTTGTTCTTTTAAGTAAGATTAGAAGATGAACTAATGCAACTAGGAGGGTCCTTTTTTATTATTAATTTTTTTTATTAAATGGTCTAGCCGTGCGGCAATATTAAGGTTTTTTAATTTAAAAAATAGTATGGCCGGACGGCTATACTTATTTTTGACACGTGACGTTTAATAGATAAAGGGTCTTCTTTTATAAAAAAAAATAAAAAATACCGCCGCACAGCTATACTCCGTGTTCTTAATTTGTTTTTTTAAAAAAAGACATGTGTTGACACGTGATGCCTAATGGCTGGGGGTCCTCTTTTTTTATATTAAAAAATAATATTGCCATAAGGCTATACTCAGTTTTTTAAATTTTTTTTATAAACAGTATAGCCCAACGGCTATACTATTTCACAAAGTGGGGATACTCTGTTTTTTTTAGTAAATAGTATAGCCGTTGGGCTATACTCGTTTTTTTTCTAATTTTTTTTAAAAAAATAGTAGAGCCAGGCGGCGTTACTGGTTTTTTTTTTAATTGTCTTTAATAAATAGTATAGACGAGCGACTATAGATTTTTACATATGTATATATATATATATGTACGTATGTATTTTTCAACAATACATTCGTGTTCTATACATGTCTCACGCTTTTTTAAAAAGCAAACATACAATAGTCGTATTGTACATGTATGATGTATGTACATATTTCTAATGTTTTATACACGTATTTTTTACAAAATTTTTAGTAAGACACACAAAATTCATGTATTATACAAATAATTCTCACATATTATTGAATAAGAATAACATATGTTATAAAAATTATATTAAAATATCATACAGTGGAAGATTAACATCTACTTTGGATATGTTGCAAATTAATATCTATAAGGTACAAACTAATGCAACTGGGAGGGTCCTTTTTTTATTATTAATTTTTTTTATTAAATAGTACAGCCGTGCGGCTCTATTACGATTTTTTTTAAATAAAAACAGTATAGTCAAGCGCCCATACTTATTTTTGACACGTGGCGTTTAATCGATAGAGGGTCTTCTTTTTAAAATAAAAAAGAAGTACGGCCGCCCGGCTATACTCCGTGTTCTTAATGGCAACTAGGAGGGTCCTTTTTTGTTAAATAGTATAGCCGCGTGGCTATACCTTTTAAATGTACCCTTAGTTGTTCTTTTAAATAAGATTAGAAGATGTCAAATACCAAATGCATAAGCATACCCTTAATTAAAGGTCTTGATGCAAGTAGTAGTGAAACCGAATGCATAAACATACCCTTAGTTGTTCTTTTAAGTAAGATTAGAAGATGTCAAATACCAAATGCATAAGTATACCCTTAATTAAAGGTCTCGATGCAAGTAGTAGTGAATCATTCACTTTTAACTTGTAGCTTATTGTAGTACTCTTCACATGTGAGATTATGCCTACCCATACTCAGATCCATGGCTTGTATACAACCCCGACATGTACCTACTCCACTATACTATACTAATAATGTCTCCCTGTAGATTGATTTGGCTAGTGACCCTTGCTTCATATTATAATCAAAGAATTGTATAGCTCCTCTGCCGTACATGAACTTTAATTTGTGTAAAATTCATTGATTCACTCTTTCATCGAGTATAAAGTTTTAGGATGAGCCTCGTACATACAATCTACAAATAACATTTTTTGTTGTTGTTGATATAAGCGATATTGAGAAAGGAGGAATTTAACTTAGAAACTCGAATTCAGGGGTAAATACTCTCGAGCGCTTAGTAACACATCCTGTCTCTGTCTGGACCAAAACAATATTAATAAATAAATAAAAACCTTTGTAATTTTCGACCAAAAAAGAAGAAAGAGTGCTGGGTGTCCGAAGACAACTTTTGGGTGTTAAAAGAACCCCACTCCTCTTGCAATGCCTGGCGTGTATTTTGATAGGTCCAACAAAGTACACGACTGGACATAAATGGGCTTGGGTTCTATCTTAGGCATTTTGGGCTAGACCAAGGTTTGAGACCTGACGTGGCAAAAACTCATTGGTTCAGTACAGCTTTTACTCGGTAATCCTGGCGGCACCTGATAACCACCAATCCAACTTATAATTAGCACACAGCAGCCTCCTCTGCAAGTAAAGTACACCTCAGTTTTTATATTTTTCTTTTTCCTCAAGAAGCGCATCAATCTCTCCCGATCTTTCTTGTCTCTTCGCAATCTCCAACTATGGTGCTCGAGGTAAAAATCCAAAACCCTAGTTGCACATAAACTTCCTCGTTTTCCTTACTGAAATTCCCCAAATTCTTCGTCCATCTCGCAAATTAGGGTTTTAATTTCCGTTAGCCTTTTTTCGTGCAATGGTTCATTTTTGTTTTTCTCCGCAGGCGACAATGATCTGCATTGATAATTCGGAATGGATGCGAAACGGTGATTATGCTCCTTCGAGGTTTCAAGCTCAGGCCGATGCCGTCAATCTGATTTGTGGAGCTAAAACCCAGGTATTTTTAAAGGTGTACTCTTATTTGTTATGTTATTTCTTGTTTGGTTGTTGGTGAAGTCCGCGTAAGTTAGGAAAACCTCGCATGTCATATCTGGTTGAGCTTAGCGTAACTTTTGCATTATTTGATCATCCAATATATTTTACTCAATATTTATTCATTGAAATCATACACTTTTGGAGATTTGATTTTCGTTTTATGGTTTTGGATAATATTTTAGATTGTTATTTGATTGTGTTATGGGCGTGTAGAGGGGAGAGAGCAGCTGTTTGTGGTTGGTTTTCGGTTGTTGCTTCGGATATAAGATCATAATGGTTGCTTATGGTTTGTAATTTAAAGTGATTTTTTTTTTTCCGGTATGCAGTCTAATCCAGAGAATACAGTAGGAGTTCTCACCATGGCAGGGAAAGGTGTTCGCGTTTTGGTCACTCCTACTAGTGATCTTGGCAAGATTCTGGCATGCATGCATGGTCAGTTCATGTACTTGCTTTTTACTTTTATATCCAACAAACAAGCAAACACATAAGTTGCAGTGTTATTGAAGTTTGTTATTTTTCAATTTGATGGAAGTATTCAACTCCTTGTAATGATTTTGTTGAAAATATTGGCACTTTCTCTAATACCAGAACTTTCTGAAGAAAAAAGAGGTTTTTCTGTTATGTGTGAACTAATTTAAGTAAGTTGTGGAACTAGGATTGATTGTTTACAGACGGAAATAGCATTGGTTTTAGATGCATTGAATAATTCAATAAATTAAGGAAGTATGGCTGGAAATAATTATATTCTGATATAGCTTGAATTCTTTGTGGCTGAAGGAGGTCAGTAGAAGCACTGAGTGCAGTGCAGTCATATTTTTCTTATTGCTGCCTTTGTTCCAAGAATTTGGTGTTTCAGTATCTTTCTTGTTCCAGAGGTTCTGGTACTTGGTATTCAGCTTGCCAATATGCCTATCTGTGATCTCTTCACATGAGCAAGATTTTAGCATGTTTTGACTCACACAATGTTCAACCCAGTAACCTTCTTTTAACAATGAAACACTACTACTTGAGAATCAACACGAACGTTAATGGATTTACTAGTGTCTTCGTCAATTTATGTTTGACAGAACTTTGAAACAGTGAAGTAACTAAGAAAATAGCAACTATATGCAAATCTCTTAACAAAAGTGATAAGAATGTTGGTCTCTGGAAAGAAGTTGAAGTGTTTTATTGATCTTCATTTATTTTGCACCACTAGTATCCAGCATTTCAGCGCAATATTTTTTTTATATTTTTTATAGGAGAAGTGTGTTGAAACTTATAAGATAAAATAAACTAATGATCCTGAAAGTAGGTCTAAACTATCTTTGTCTATGTTCTCATTCCCCTTGTTACTAACTCCTGCTTGTTGTGTATAATAGATTTCATCATTGATATTTCTTCTCCTTTTGGAAATTTAGGTTTAGAAATAGGTGGTGAGATGAACCTGGCAGCTGGCATTCAGGTGGCTCAATTGGCCCTCAAACATCGCCAGAACAAGAAACAGCAACAAAGGATTATTGTGTTTGCTGGAAGGTTCATAATACCTCGTTTGCTTGTCTTTTCATTTTATTATTTGCTAGTTCTTAAATGTTAATAACTTTGACTTATGTGTTGTCAGTACTGTCAAACATGACAAAAAGTTTTTGGAGATAATCGGAAGGAGATTAAAGAAGAACAGTGTAGCCCTCGATATCGTCAATTTTGGTGAAGAAGATGAGGAGAAGTCAGAGAGGCTAGAAGCCCTGTTTAAGACTGTGAACAATAATGACACCAGCCACATTGTTCATGTTCCACCTGGTCCAAGTGCTCTTTCTGATGTACTTATAAGGTCAGTGTTTGGTTTGACCTGAACTTTAAATCTTGCACACTTTTTTATATGGAAAAAAAAAACTTTAAATGTGAAACTTAATCCCCTGAGTAAAAAAGTGTCTTTAGTTGGTTCAAATCTTTATTTTTGTGTATCTTTTTTAAACAGAAGTGGTCATGTGAGTGGCACATCACAATTCTTAGTTGTAGGCCACATTGGTCAAAAGTTAGGATTTGAACCAACCAAAACACCATTGTCATTTAGGGGGTTAAGCGCCAATTTTAAAGTTTAAAGAATAATATAGGATACAGAATACAATTGATGGAGCATTAATGCAATTTACCCATTTTAGATATTTTGTATAACTTATATTTTTCCCTTCTCCTGTGGCAGTACACCCATCTTTACCGGGGATGGGGAAGGTGGGAGTGGTTTTGCGGCGGCAGCAGCAGCAGCTGCTGCTGGTGGTGTCTCTGGTTTTGATTTCGGTGTAGATCCAAACCTGGATCCTGAGCTTGCCCTTGCTCTTAGAGTTTCAATGGAAGAAGAGAGGGCCAGACAAGAAGCAGCTGCTAAAAAGGCTGCTGAGGATGCTTCCAAACAGGAAAAAGGAGGGGAAGCACAATCCAGCTCACAAGATGCAACTATGACGGAGCGTGCCAGTGCTGGAACTTCTGAAGCTGATAATAAGAGTAATGATTTCATGGTCAGTGTCATTTCTTTCATTCTTGAGTTTCTTTTTCTTCTTTATTTTGTAAATAAGGAGTTGCGGGGTGGGTGTAGCATTACAAATAAAATATGTCCTCCATGCAGTTCGCTCTACCCATGAATTCTTGTTGATTTTTGTTTGTTTGTTTTAAAATCCCTTTCATTCTTCCTTGTGCTTTATCTTCGGTTTTGTCCATAGCTCGAAAGAAAACCAATGTGCAATGTAAACTGACCATATTTTTGACAACAGGATGATGAGAATGCTCTGCTACAACAGGCCCTTGCAATGTCGATGGATGAACCCGCTTCCAGCCATGAGATGCGAGACGCAGATATGTCTGAGGCAACTGGAGAGGATCCAGAGTTGGCTCTAGGTGGGTTCTTCTGGTCATTTGACCATACTCCATTCATCTATGGGTGGGTTGGTTGAATAACAACGTTAGTTGGTGGCAATTTTTCATTGGGAATAGGAAATAAATTTATGGTGCTATGCAAAAAATGCAAGCTTTGACCATTGTTAAGCACGTGGTGCCTCAATTTGAGTCATTTCATTTCAGAAAATGTTATGTGAATTCACCTTGCTTATCATTTGGTTCTGACCATTTAATAATTGCCAGAAAGTCTGAAATTCTAAGCACATTATGGATAGAAGTTCTTTCTTGAATTCAATTTATATAGTACTCCTTGGTTATATATTCTAAAATTTACCACTGACAGTGTGACTGTTCTCTAAGTAGGTATTTGGCTTTAATTCCTAATATTTGGTGCTTGCAGCTCTTCAGTTGTCTGTGCAGGAGAGTGCAAAAGACTCGGGTAGCCAGAAAGATATGAGTAAACTATTGGCTGACCAGTCTTTTGTGTCTTCCATCCTAGCCTCGGTATTCCTACAACATCCCCCCTTTTTTTTTCTTTTTTTCTTTTTACTTCCCTTCTAAGCAGAAATGCAGCATTAAAGTATCTCCTTTAGTGAACTAATGACATGATATTTAAATGCTTCTGCAGCTTCCAGGGGTTGACCCAAATGATCCTTCAGTTAAAGATTTGCTTGCTTCCATGCAAAACCAGTCAGAGGTGAGATTATCAAACTTCTGATTATGATTTATGAATAGAAGAAAATAATTATAGGCAGCATATAGTAAGTTATCTAGGTCTTAAGTTACCTTGTTATTTAAGTTACTCTGTTACTCCGGCCAAAATAAATTCTAAAATGAATGCTCATGCCTATCCCTATCTCTAGGAACATTAATGTGAGCAGTATTTTTATAAGCATTTTATCTGTGTTTGCAACTGAGCAGCGCTTGTATGCTTTAGGCCCCGTTTGGGATTGCTTTTTTTCGCCAAAAACCTGCTTCACTTTAAAGTTAAGCAGTTTAAGGTGTTTGGTAAAAAGAAAATATCCTGATTATTTTAAAAGCAATGACCTTTTGACAGCAGCTTTTAAAAGCAGGCTCTTGGTTGCTTTTCAAAGCTGCTTTCAAAAGAAACAGATATGAACATTTAATGAATTTTTTTAATTCCCAAAATACCATCATTCATTTTAAAAAATGACACCACCTCCACTTCCACATCCAACTCCACCACTTGCACCACCACCACCACCACCACCACCACCACCAACTCCACCTTCATCACCACCACCACCTCCACTCCATCACTACAACTACCACCACATGATTAGTACATAACACTTTTAACATTATGTCTATTTTAGTCATTATTCACAGTTACAACAATTTTATATTAAAATTTACCAAACGTTTTTTACACTGCTTTTTGTACTTGTTTACCAAACATGGAGCTGCTTTACTTTACAGCTAATTATTTTCAAAGCACAGCAGAAGCAACTTTTTTTAAAAGTGACAGCAATCCCAAACTGGGCCTTAGTGTAATTTGTGGACCATTTATGTTAGCTACTGGCTTGACCATATACAGAGTTGCACCAATTACTCATGAGAACACTTTTAGCTGTGTTTCCAACTGAGCAGCGCTCGGTATGCTTTAGTGTAATTTGTGGACCAGTTATATTAGCTACTGGCTTGACCATATACAGAGTTGCACCAATTACTCATGATAACACTTTTCTCACTTGGAAAAAACCATGGATGCTTGAGCTGCACAACCAAAACATAAGCATGGGTTAATGTGTAACTGAAATTTGACCTCATGCTTCTTTATCCTGAAAGGAATTTCTTAGAATAACATGAAATTTTTTCTCATGCGATTGAAATTTGAACTAACAGTTTGCATGCATAGCAGTGGTATCTGATAAACATTTTAGTGGTACCAACCAATAGTGCCAGAGTATGAGCTCCGCATTATTTTCTGATTAGGTTTTATTTATGTTGTCTTTTTAAGCCTGATCAGAAGAAGAATGAAGACAAAGCACCGAAAGAGGAGGAGAAATGATGCATATCCTGGGTCGTCTTTCAATGGCAGGTTTCATTTGCTGAATACACCCAGTTCATGCAATCTCTCTCCAACCACTAGTAGTGCTTATCTCTCTACTCTGGTTGTGACCTTTAAGCTTCTAGATTGACTTTTGGATCAATGTTTGCCCGGCAGGTCATAAAGCTCTGTTTTCGTACCAGTACATTGATCTTTATCATTTGCTTGAGAAGGCTTCTGATAAAAACGGACGGCTTTCTAGCAAAAACAATGTGCAACATTGAAATGTATCTCTGCATTGAATTTTATATTACATATTGTTACGTTACGTACGACGACATTTTTACTTTGTGTTTTTAGTTGTCAATGTGATTATTTTGGCCATGCCTGAATTTCCCTTGTCATTTTTCAGTCTTTGAATGGTAGCTGTTGGTCTCATTTTTGCTGTCACTTTGAGTCCATTGATTGATCCGCATTTTTCCACAATGTATCCTCCTCTAACTTATAAATCTACATGCAAGTTAAATTTTTTGGTTGCGATAAGATAATAATTGCCTGATGCAATAAGCTTTGCTCAACTATCCATTCGTTCGTCCGCACCCTTGAATCAAGGGGCTTGGGGATGCATAAACATCATGTGCTAGGATAGCATCAGTTCAGTTGCTAGTGGATGCATGCGTGCGTGCATGAAGCTAGCTCAACTGTTGTGTAGACCTTCGTGTTTGTGGGCCCCACACATGGGCTACTGTTGCAAAATCATACAAATATGTATGTATGTATGTATGTATGTATACCGTATATGATATTGGCGGGTGTGGTTTGTTCGCATACTAGGATATGACGTGCGTGCAAACTGAAGATCGCAACAGAATCAAATTCAAGTCTAATGAAAAGCATGTAATTTTCAAATGCCGCAAAAGGAGGATAACTTACGAAAGAAATGCCCAAACTTATATATATATCAACAAGGAATGAAACGGTTTCTGGCTTCTTCACGGAGAAGCACAAAACCAGACCAGAGATGGTGAAGCAAATATTGGGTAGGCTCATCCAACTGACTGACCAATTCACAAAGGCTTTGGACAGGGCCGTTGTGACATCCAGGGACCACAGCTTCATCCCCCACCAGCTTAAATCCAAGTCTGAAGAGCTGGCAGGACTTCTCCGCCAACTCAGCTGCTCCAACCTCGGCACCTATGATCGCCCCGCACGTGCGATCATCAACCAAATCGAAGAAACCCTCGACGGGTGTCTGTTCCGGCTGCTCAAGCATCCCAAATGCATCATTGTCAAGATCATCAAGAAGCGGTTCTCCACCTTCATCCCCGTTACTTGTTTCCTCGAAATCTTGGCGCATCTAGACGCTTCAATCGGGAATGTGTCTTGGCTGATCGGTTTATGGAGGGCCGAGCCCCCGGACGAGGACTTGAGACAGCCTCCAATGGTATTAAAAGAGCCCGTTCTGTGGCGTGTTTGGGAAGAGATTGCAATTCTTCATCACCCGGTTGTATCCGTCCAAGCTCGATCTAGTGCTGCAGCTTCACTCGGTCAGCTTGCCAGGGACAACGAGAGGTACATGAAGTTGATCATCCGGGAAGGTGGAGTGGAAGCCTTGTTGAAATTGATGGAGGAGGGTCCAATGGAAGGCCAAGAGAACGCTGCCAGGACCCTTGGGTGGCTGGGACGTTCCTGCGAAATCGTCGAACACCTTCATGCGGATGTATGTAAAGTGTTTGCGAAAATCCTCAGAGAAGGCTCCTTGAAAGTTCAGGTTGCGGTGGCCGAGGTGGTGTCAATGCTCTCATATCAACACCCGGAATTGCAAGATGTTTTTGCGCAGCACGATGTTGTCCGCTTGCTCATCGGCCATCTTGCATTCGAAACTGTTGAAGTGCATAGCAGCAAAACCCATAGCAATGACAATGACAATGACAATGCCAAGGCTAATGAAGACCCAGCCACCAGGGAAAAAATGAAAGCAATGGCAGCCAAAGCCCTTTGGAGACTAGCAGAGGGGAACTCGGCCATTTGCCGTAGCCTCGCAGAATCAACATCACTATATAGTTTCGGTGTGCTCCTGGAAAAGGGTTCTGCAAATGCTCAACGTTATTCTGTCCTTGCATTAATGGTGATCATGAAAGTGGCGGAGGAAGATGCTGATTTGAGAAGATGCGCCTTCAGTCCTAATTCTCCCACTTGGAAATATATTGCTGATCAATTATTACTGAAGATCACTGAGAATGTTGAAAACTCAGACTTCCAAGTCTTTTGCATAAAAGCTATTGGGAATTTGGCAAAGACATTTGGGTCAAGAGAGACAAGGATGATTAACCGATTGGTGCAGCTTCTGAATGGAAGCAAATTTGATGTTACTGAGGAGGCTTGTATTGCCCTCACAAAATTTGCTTGTACAGACAACTATTTCCACATTGACCATTCCAATGCAATAATAGGTGCTGGAGGTGTTAAGCACTTAATCCAGATTTTGTATGATAAGAAAGCTGAATATGCGTTGGTTCTCATCTGCTACATTGCACTGCATGTACCGGACAGCGAAGAGCTTGCGCAGGCTGAGGTGCTTGCCGCGCTTACGCGGGCATCCCAGCTATCTTATATGACCAAATATGAAGAAGTGGACAGATTGTTGTGCAACATTCCAGTACGTGTACCAGAAATGGAAGAACTTGCCCGGGCTGGGGTGCTCCCGATGCTTGAATGGGAAACCGAGCAATCTTATATGTCCAAAGATGGAACAATGCTCACATTGTTACAAGAGGCTAAGAGTAGATTGAATCTCCATCAGTCCAAAGCCTCGAGGGGCGTCCATTGATTCAATTAGAAGCATAGAGGTTTCCCATTCCTGGAAAAAGGAACAAAATTCCATTCTTTTGTTCATCAATTTATGATTCCTTCTTCTATTATATTCACTATGGCTTGCTCATATTAAATTTTGAGATTTACAGATAGTTGAGCTGATTTCATAATAACTCACTAGTTTGTTGGTGTTGCTATGGTCAAAGTAAGTGTTCTCTATATTTTGGCACATATGTGCTCTCTATTCAAGCATCTCCCAGAAAATTGAATTTATTAATAGATGTTCCATGTGATGCGTATGTCGCATTAGATGTTTTCTACCATAACCAAGTTATCTACTTCATATTAATTACTCTCATTGTTGCCACGTCTTGAGCATTAGTATAATATATGGTTTAGATTGTAAAGAATAAGATGGGAGCTAGAGAGTTATATGCTAATGCTAGTATCAGTTGCAAGTAAGTGATTGTAGCGTATTGATGCGTTATAGAACTCACTTGTATCAGCCGTACACAAGTATGTCAGTTACATGTTTACCAATCCTTCGCCCTCTGAGAAAAATGAATAAGTACCAAAATAATTGATGTGTTTTATTACTGAAGCTTGTCACTCTCAAACTACTCATCTCAACTACCTATAATCCTTAAAATACCCTTCAAAGTTTGTAAATTCTTTTAAAAAACTTTAGTTTATATTTTATTTTTGTTAGTTTTGAAAGGCAATGACTTTTTTACCCCAATAATTGATGCGAATCTAGCCATCCATTTATTCCAAATGCCAACACCAATCCACATCCAACGGCCAATAAAATTCGCGTTCAACTACACCCGGCCGTTTACAATTACCCGCGTCATTAAATTTAATAACGGCTCCCAGTCCCTAGATTCCGCCATTAAAATTTCATATATCAAAGAGGCGAGCTTTGTCAAGTTCGCAAGATGGAGCCCCATACACACTTGTACGCACTGGCCCTTCTCATTCCCTTCCCTCCCTTATAAAATTAGGCCGGCCATGACCATCTCTCATATGCTCCAAAGGAGAAACCGAGGCCTTTCTCCTTTGTCCTCGCTTGCCCAAAATTCGCAATTGCAAGATCCACAGCCGTGGAAGCAAGCCACGGCCACTGTTTCTATTTATCCGAGCAAAGCGAGGAAAATAAGTTTCTAGGTTTTCAGGATGAGAAAGGTGGAAACTTTAGCCTCGGGTTTTCAGTTTGTGCTTGTTTTTGTTGCTGTTTGTTTGTGCAAGGAGGCCGTTGGTGGCGGTTATGTGAGGTACAGGACAGGGGGTGGTGTGGTGGAAGGCAAGTTGAATGTTCATTTGGTTGCGCATTCACACGACGACGTCGGATGGTTGAAGACTGTTGATCAGTACTATGTTGGATCAAACAATAGCATTCAGGTCATACAATTGAGTGGTGATTAGTGGATTAAGTAATTACTTGAGTCATTAATTAATTAATGAGTTTGTGAACTTGTTTAGGGTGCTTGTGTCGAGAATACTTTGGACTCTGTTATCGAATCGTTGGTTCGTGATCCGAATAGGAAATTTGTGTTTGCTGAGATGGTAGGCTGCTCAGCTTTACAACAAGTTAAAGTTTTCAACTTTGTATTTAATTTTTGTTTTCTGATTTAAAGTTGGTATGAATTTTAGGCATTCTTTCAAAGATGGTGGTCAACACAAAGTGCGGGAATTCAAGAAATAGTGCGAAAACTAGTAGATGATGGGCAGCTAGAGTTTGTGTATGTTGCTAGCAATCAATTTGTATCTTTGACTTGTGTCGTTTTATTTGTGTTTGCATCTTTTAATCTGTTATAAGCATTTGTATATGTGTATGTATAGAAATGGTGGTTGGTGTATGCATGATGAAGCAACAGTCCATTACATAGACATGATTGACCAAACAACTCTAGGTCACCGTGCAATAAAGCAGCAGTTCAACAAGACGCCTCGTGCCGGATGGCAAATTGATCCATTCGGACACTCTGCTGTGCAAGCTTACTTACTTGGAGCTGAGGTAGGCACTTTATTAATTTTATTCTGCAATTGAATGCTCCATTGTTTTACCGTGTTGGTTTTGTTTCCATACATGTTTGTTTTTAAGTCAAGCTTCTAATCTGCTTTGCATATTTGTTCTGAATCTCTAACTTTGTCACTGATTTTTTGAATTCAGACTCACACCAACATCACTTGCATTAGTTATAATTTTAATGAAGCGGTTTGTATTGTATAATTCTGACAGAGTTGATTCTTACAATGTTCTTGCAGCTTGGGTTTGATTCTGTACATTTTGCAAGGGTTGATTATCAGGACAGAGCAAAGCGCAAGGGGGATAAGTCTCTTGAAGTTATATGGCGTGGATCCAGAACTTTTGGTTCATCATCTCAGGTTTAGAACTACAACTCCTGCAGCGTTACCCCCTTTTTTTTTCTTCATTCAATAATGTAATATTGTGCTTACTATACAACGTCCCGGGCCTTTCGTAGATTTTTGCCAATGCATTTCCTGTTCACTATAGTCCACCATCGGGTTTCCATTTTGAAGTAAACGATGACTTCGTCCCTGTCCAGGTTCTAATTTTAACAAGAGTAACTTCTACCATAAAAAATTACATGTTTTTTTTTCAAAGTGGATGTATCATCTAATCTGTTAAATGATAAAACTGCAGGATAACCCTCTTCTTTTTGACTACAATGTTGAAAAGCGTGTTAGTGATTTCATCAATGCTTCAATTACCCAAGTAATCTCTTATCTTCTTGAATATATATTTTTAGATTATTATCTTTGACCTAAAGGCTCTTCTTAATTTTCTTTTTAACTATTCATTTAACTAACGGTGAAGGCTGAAATATCCATTTGATAAATGAATGAATCATATTAATGTACAGGCAAATGTGACGAGGACAAATCACATTATGTGGACAATGGGTGATGATTTCCAGTACCAATATGCCGAGTCTTGGTTCAAACAAATGGACAAATTAATTCACTATGTTAATAAGGTGGAGTTTAATTAGAAGGCTCATACCATTTATGGGTTTACAATTATGAAGTTTCATTGTTGAGCTTATTGTTAATTTTTCTCTCTCATTTTAATGTATAATTAAGAGCCTTCCATCATATTTTTTTCTCTCCTTCCCTTTTGTGTTAATTTTTCAGGACAGTCGAGTTAATGCCTTGTATTCTACACCATCTATCTATACTGATGCTAAAAATGCAGCAAACCAGTCGTGGCCACTGAAAACTGATGATTATTTTCCGTGAGTGTATTTTTCTCTCCCTTTTCCCTCTTTTGTTGACAATGTTGACAAAACAGGACTTACTGACTTAATCTATTGCATTCATTGTTTTCCCAATGATTTCCAACAGGTATGCTGATACGGCAGATGCTTATTGGACTGGATTTTTTACTAGTCGCCCAGGTTTGAAGGGATATGTCCGGTCGCTGAGTGGATATTATTTGGTATGACATCAAATCAGTCCACAATAGTAATTATCCATAGCCAGAATAAATAGTCCTGTGCCATGTGATTTTGCGTTGAATATATTGGTATTTTAGTCACCATATCCCATAGGAATAGTCTTTAAGATAGTTTATTTATCTTTAGCTTGCTGCTGTCACAAGAATTTGTCAACTTGAACATCTACTGAGAATCGCCACACTTTAAATCACTTCTGGAGAGGATCTACTCTTCCTTTCATGAACTGAGTGGTGTGTTGGTGTTAACTTCTACTTTTGTAAAATAGGCGGCACGAGAACTGGAATTTCTGATTGGAAAGAGAGCAAATGGTTCCAATACCTATATCCTTGGAGATGCTTTAGGAATTGCACAGCACCATGATGCTGTCACCGGCACCGCTAAACAACATACAACCAATGACTATGCAAAGCGCCTGTCCATTGGCGCCCTTGAGGTCTCCACCTAGTATCTCTGTAAATTGTACCTTCTGTTTTGCATTTGCCTCTGACACTTTTATTCTTCTTGTAGGCTAAAATGTGTATTACATATCTTATATAACATAATGACATTTTATAGGCAGAAGCTGTTGTCAGTTCTGCTATATCGTGCCTAACTAAAAGTAAATCAGGAGACCAATGTAAAGAGCCAAAATCGACTTTTAGCCAGGTGAAACTTCATTTTGGTGTTGCTCCTTGCTTTCGGATCAGTTGGTGCCCCTTTTTCTTGATAAACTAATATTTTTCTAAGATTGCAGCATTTAACAAAATGGCAATAAGCAATCTAGTTGCTCATCCTGGCCTAATGCTGCTTTTCCTCCTCCCTCCCTTTTTTAATTCTTAAACAGTGTCGATTACTCAATATCAGTTACTGCCCTCCAACAGAAAAAGATATTCCAGAAGGGAAGAGCTTGGTAATTTATCTCTTTCTTTTTTCTTCTAATTTACTTATGGATAATACACTTATGAAATATTTTGTTTCTTTCATTCTCTTTAAATGCAAATTCCAGGTTGTTGTAGCATATAATCCGCTTGGATGGAATCGGACCGAGATTGTTAGGATACCTGTGAGTATGTGCTTTGTGTTTAGTTTATGCTATATAGTGTAGGTTTGCTCAATTTTTTTAATTTTTTTTTTTACTTTCTCTGATCATTATGTCCATGCATATGTTAATTCTGCATACAATAGAATAAAATGAGATGACTATTGAGCTATATGTTACATGCTTGACATCAGCATCCGTATGTCCACAAATGAGTCTAGCTTAAGTTAGCAAGTTTTGGTTCTTATTTGATAATAAACTTGACTTCTTGTTCCCTGTGATCCGCTTACTGATCTTCAACCAGGTTAACGATGCCACTCTTTCTGTTCGAGATTCCTCTGGAAATATTCTTGAGGTACAATATGTAAATTTGGATAATGTTACAGCAGATCTAAGAAACTTCTATACAAAAGCCTACTTGGGACAGTCATCAAAACAAGTTCCTAAGTACTGGCTAATCTTTCAAGTCTCTGTGCCACCACTTGGTTGGAACACCTACTTCATTTCAAGAGGAGCTACCAAACGTAGATGTACACCTCTTTGCGCTCTCCTTTTGGGCCTTGGAAATTCTTAAATGTTATTTGAATTCATTTTAATTTTATTTCCTATCTATCTCTACTGTCTAGGTACACTAGTAAAACAGGTTTTAAATTCTTATGAAGCTCATCTGCTAAAAGTGGAATAAAATAAATAATGTACCAATACATCTAAGATTCATACTTATTATTTGCCCTTTGTAGGGAAAAATGGAAATAGATTTCTCTCTGTGATGGACAGTCCACAAAACGAGACCATTGAAGTTGGACCTGGAGATCTGAAGATGTCCTTTTCTTTTGCTTCCGGACAACTCAAACGGATGTATAATTCTAAAACAGGAGTAAGTTCTTTCACAGTTTCAAACAGTAGCCTTGCACAAATTATTCCTCAGACTGTTAGGTGCTTGCATGATGTGCTTTCAAGTTTCTTTTATTTTTCATTTTCCTTTTTTCTTGGTATTGCATAAAGCCTTTTCTCCCATAGCAGCTTCATAAATAAAAATCAGAGAACTCCAGTGCAAGTGACACACAGCCCAAACAAAAGGACGGGTTCACTTCTTTATTTCATAAGAATGTGGTGGAAGTTTACATCAATTTTAATTAATAATCATATATCACCAGGTTGATGTACCAATACAGCAGAGCTACCTCTGGTATGGTTCAAGCAAAGGTGATATCGATTCCCAGGTGTCCAATCTCTGTGCTAGGATTTTGATTTACTTAAGTATGTAATTCAAGTCAATGAAGTTCCTGCTGAACTAACATTCAGTTATATGATCTCTCCAGCAACGCTCTGGTGCATACATATTCCGGCCTAATGGCTCCCCTGCAACTATTGTATCAAGATCAGTAAGCCTTATTTTTGCTTATTATTATGTACTTTCCAAGGTTCAAATTACATGTAATTTCAATATGTGACACGAAAATAGAGAGAGCATATTTGGTGTGTCCACTGTCCACTACTGTATCCTTTTATTTATTTATTCTGCTTTTTCTCATTTGGTGTTCACCGTGTACACACAGCTTACTAAAATTCCCAAATTTAGAACAAAGATTTGTTTATACATCAATTTTGGTGTTAACCTGCATTAGCTTTTCAATGTTTTGGCCAGTAGCGTGTTTTAGCTACACTTCATTCAGCATATTTCTTGACAATTTAAACTTTAGGGTGCCAGGTTGGTCCAACAGTATCAAGATTCAAGCTTACACATAACACAAATACGATATTCTTCACTATAAATTTTTACATGTTTTATTCATTCTACAGGTACCCTTGAAGGTTTTTCGTGGACCACTAGTTGATGAGATTCACCAACAGTTCAATTCATGGATCTATCAGGTTATTGGCATATTTTCAAATTGCTTTCTCTGGTCAGAACTGTTTTTGTTTCTGAAATCCTTAAATAGCTTATGTAATTTGTTTATGTGAGCTTCTACATCAATTAGCAAGCTATAAACATCATTTGTACCCATATTAAACATAACACAGAAGTGAAAATGCCATATAATTTGTGAACATAGAATGACTGTTTCATCACCATTTTGTATTTGGTGTTAGAATCACCACATTGTTTTATGTTGTAACCAACCGCATTTTGCTAAATGAAAAATTGCATTTGTTATCAGGTCACTAGACTTTACAGAGACAAAGAGCATGCCGAAGTCGAATATACTGTGAGTGATTTACCTACCATTTTATTTTGATGAATGAAGCATATTCGCCTTACTTTGAAGTCAGCTGTGTTCATCTTGGCTGGTGAATGCTTTCTTTACTGGCTGGGAAGCAATACAGTTTTATCTCCCTAGACTCAAATCATGTAGTTCTGGCATATTTTTATTTTGAAGATTGGACCAATTCCCACAGAAGATGGTGTTGGAAAAGAGGTCATCACTAGAATGACGGCAAACATGGAAACAAACAAGGTGTTCTACACCGATTCCAATGGAAGGGATTTCATTAAACGGGTAACTCCATATATCAGTTTCTCATACAAATTAGTATTATGAAGCTTGCTGGTTTACCAATGTTCCAACAATTTAACTGTTAGGATGCAGGCCGACAATTATTTCATATTGTAATACCCCCTCAATATCAACGTTAGATGGTATCATCACTTCTTTTTACATGAGTCTTCCTCTGGCATGTTCTTTTGCTTCACTTAATAGTATTCGTATATTTCCTACACCCTCAACGATATTGATCTATCCTGTGAATTCTTAAATTGAAAAAGAAAGTAATGCTTACATCATGGTTTTGCAGGTACGAGATTATAGGCCAGACTGGCCCCTTTCGGTTAATCAACCTGTAGCAGGAAACTATTATCCAGTAATTTTCTTAACACTAGTCACATGGCCTTTATTGTGTCTGTATATATACACAAACACAAATATACATCAGAACTAACTATTTTCATTTTTAAACTGGCGTCATCTTCCTTTTCAGCTAAATCTTGGAATCTATACTCTGGATAAGAAATCAGAGTTCTCAGTCCTGGTTGATCGTGCCACTGGAGGATCCAGCATTGAAGATGGTGAAGTAGAGCTGATGCTTCATAGGTTTGATTTTGATACACTGATTTTCAGCATTGAGGTCAAGTAATTGCTTTATTGTGGCTGTGGATATGTTAATCTAATACTATTCTTCTGAAACACAAGGCGTATACTCTATGATGATTCCAGAGGGGTGGGTGAAGCACTTGATGAAACAGTGTGCGCTGGAGAAACTTGTGAAGGACTAACGGTATCATGTTACACAACAAGAGTAGTTTCTATTTCTATACATAGACATAGCTTTTAATCTTGCTGCTTTATGGTTCTCACCGACTTCATTTCTTGTAATCCTGTAATATATTTTTTTGCAGGTTCGAGGAAACTATTACATGAGTGTAAACCAGGTAGGGGCTGGTGCCCCCTGGCGCAGGACAACTGGCCAGGAAGTTTACTCACCGCTTCTTCTAGCTTTCACTCATGAGGTATGACTTCACCATAATTCCAGATCCTATGAAGCATCATAGCTCTTGATTTTAAAGGATGATTTTGATTGTTCAGAAATTGGAGGATTGGACTGCATCTCATTTGACAAAAGCATCTACCATGGATCTGAATTACAGCTTGCCTCTCAATGTTGCTTTGATTACTCTTCAGGTGACTGTAAATCACTGTAGAATGAAATAAGTGCTTGTTACTTCTCTCTCTCTCTCTCTCTCTCTCTCTCTCATACCCTAGTTTTTCAGGAGTTGGATGACGGAAGTGTGCTCCTTCGTCTAGCACATCTATATGAGGTAACAAGATACGTGAAAACACTATAGACCCTATATTAACATAATTTAAGCAAAATAATTTAGTTTGCATTCACTTCTTTTATGCTGTTGATTTGAATAGGCAGCTGAAGATCCTCAATATTCAACATTGGCCAAAGTTGAACTGAAGAAGATGTTTACTGGAAAAACGGTATGCACATCATCTTTTTAGTCCAGACTTGGTACATTTTGCCCAACCTATGCTTTATGGTACAATGTTTTATCTGCATTTGAAACTTAGGATCCTGAGGATGATAAGATTAACTGGCAATGTGGGTGATTAATTAGTACTAATGTGATTGTTGGTGTTTGAACTTTCAGATTGAGGAAGTGAAGGAAGTGAGCTTGTCAGCAAACCAAGAGAAGTCAGAGATGAAGAAGATGACATGGAAAGTTGAGGGTGACGACGGCGACGAACCTACACCAATTAGAGGGGGCGCTGTCAGTAGTTCAACTCTTGTTGTTGAGCTTGGACCCATGGAGATACGCACTTTCTTGTTGAAATTTTAGATAGTGTTTTGGTCAACTTGTTATAGTTTGCAGCGCAAGCATATAGGTACTGCATAAAATGTCTGAACTGCAAATAATATATAATTCAATTACCATTGGATTGTGGTAGAGCTGGCTACTAAAAATGGAGAAATTTGTGTGGATGTTGCATTAATTCTGAGTTGGAATAAATTCTGTCAAATGATTTAGAATTGTACTGTCTATTAAGACGTACGATTCTGTCTTATGTCGAGATTTTACATCTCACAATATTTATCTTGAAAATTTGTGTTATATATTTATTATGTGGCCTGATTGCTTCAAAATTCGGGGGATCAAAATGGAAAAAAAATTAAAATTCTTTGATCATCTTTTTTTCTCTACTTGCAAACATAACACCACCAGTCTTATTGGTGCCCAAAATTTAGACTTTTTTAAAAAAAGTCTTCTTGCAAAAATAACACCACCAGATTTAAACGCCACATGGCTGCATAAATGCTACATCCAAATATTTTCCTATGGTTGGAGAAATGGAAAAATTATTTGAAGGCATCAATTAGTAACAACACATAACTGTGAACATACCGAAAAATTACTTCAAACATAAGACTTCGGATGTAAACGATAAATAACTATAAGCACTTTGCAATCTTGAAGATTGTATTTAGAAAATCATCTTAATCTTGGGCAGAAAAAAAAAAAAAAAAAATCACTTAGATGTGTACAAACGAGCTGGTCCTTGGTGTTGAGAAGCACCAAAAGTAGTGCCTTAGAGATCATCACAATCTTGAATCTGAGTAGAAAACAGATGTAAAACTCGTTCTAGTCTCTTCTCTTCAACCATCAGTTCATTTTCTTTTTTCTCTAAAAATAGAAAAATAAAAACGAAAAATCGTTAACCGGTATATACGCGGGAAGGCCTCGAGACAGTTAATCTACTTTTAAGCCTTGTCTCCTGCTGGTCCTACGTGGAATTACTGTACAAATGCCACGTGTCCACTTCAACTCCGGTCACCAACTCGAAGACAGAGAAAAAACAGCGCGAGCGCCAAGGCCCCATCTTCTTCTTCTTCGTCATTTCGCTTCACCTGAAAGGAAACCCTAATCGCCATTAAATTCTCTCTCATTTACTCCATCGGAGCCAAACAGAGGAAAAGCGATGGCTAACCCTAACCCTACTCCCAAACATCCCCTGTACCCGGACGTCATGCAGTCGAACCCAGAAGCCCCATCAATCCCTAACCCTACCTCCTCATCCCGAAATCTCTACCCTTCCCTCGACATGAAAGACCTCGTCGACAATCTTTTCCCTGAAAACTCTAACATTAACCCTACCTCCCATTACCAACATTGGGCTCAGCCCTCTGCTCCGCCGTCATCTCAGCCCTCTGTTCCGCCACCATCTCAGCCCTCTGCTCCGCCGTCATCTCAGCCCTCAGATCAGCCGTCATGTCAGCCGTCCGCTCCTGCCGTGGCCACCGAAGAGGTCCTCATCAAAATCCCCGGCGCCATTGTCAACCTTATCGACAAGCACTACAGTGTCGAGCTCGCCTCCGGCGATTTCACGATCATACGCCTCGTCCAAGGCGACGACATCGTCGCCGTCCTCGCCCGAGTCGGAGACGAGATCCAATGGCCTCTGGCGAAGGAGGAAGCCTCTGTGAAGCTCGACGACTCGCATTATTTCTTCTCGCTCTACGCCCCGCCGGATTCCGAGTCCGGGTCGGACTCCAAATCCAAAACGACCACGAACGATCCGGACAATTTTTTGAACTACGGATTGACGATTGCGTCGAAAGGGCAAGGGGGATTGGTGAAGCAATTGGATGAGATTTTGAAGAGTTACTGCAGTTTTTCAGAGCAGAAAGTTTCCGATAAGGCGAAGAAGAAGGGGGAGGCGTTGGACGATACAATGGCTCTGGAGACGTCGCCGGCAGAGTTGAGCTCGGAGAAGAAGAAGGAGTTGGAGGAGAGGAGCGCTGCGTATTGGACCACATTGGCTCCGAATGTGGAGGACTACAATGGGAGGGCTGCTAAGTTGATTGCGGCCGGGTCGGGCCAGCTGATCAAGGGGATTTTGTGGTGTGGTGATGTGACAGTGGAGAGGTTGAAATGGGGAAATGAGGTTATGAAGAAGAAGATGGACCCGCTTTCGAATAAGGAAGTCAGTCCCCAAACCATGAGGAGGATTAAAAGGTACAATGACTTGTGCTATTGCTTGCGCTTGTGATTATTTTTATTGTTACTTTTGAGTTCGATATGTAGTTTGTCTCTCATGTTGTTTGGTTCTTTGATCCTGGTTGTCTATTTCTGATTAATAAATGTTACATGTCTTGTTCTGGTTGTTGTTTTTCTGAGGGATAATAAGGGCAAGTGAAATATTCCATTGAAATAAAAAGATTTGTGTTGTAAGTTACAATGCACATTTCCACTGAAACTGGTTAGATTTTGAGGCTACTTATGGGAAAATTATGAATTCGATCTTACGGCCATGCCTGTAGACCCAATATCCCTTTTTGGAGCTTGGTCTTTTATCTTCATATGTTATTGTAGGATGCAGGGTAGATATTAGTTGCAAATGTTTTGACATGCCCTTATGGTTCTACCACATCTGTGTCTAAGAACATTTTGCAACAAGGATCTCATTTTCTAGTTGAGTGTTTGGGTCCTTGCAATTTCTCTTTTTGGTCAGGATAATATTTTGAGTAAAAACCTAATCTTTACTTTTTCTGTAGGGTTAAGAGTGTGAGCAAAACGACGCAGAAAGTTGCAGCTGGTGTCCTTTCTGGGGTTTTGAAAGTTTCTGGATACTTCACAAGTTCGGTGGTAAATTCCAAAGTAGGAAAGAAATTCTTCCGTCTTCTGCCTGGGGAAATTTTGCTAGCATCACTGGATGGATTTTGTATGTTGATCATCCCTTTTTCTTGATTTTGGTGCTTATTTAATAACAGATAATACTAAATCTTTTGTTTGAAACTCTTATCTTGCAGTTTTTTTATCTTAATTTCATTAATGCTTCCACTCTGAATCATATGTAGATTGTCTAAATGCATGCCAGGGTTAGCGAGCTGGTTTATAAACTATAAGAGTGGTGAAGATAATCTGTTTCTTAGTATAGGTTCAGAACACAAGTTTTCTTTTTAACCCACTGTAGAAGGGTGGGATTCTCTTGCAGCTAAAGAGATTTTTTTTACCATTATCTGCTGCAAATTGCCATGTATTTGAGTAGACTGTAGATTAAGATGCAAACATGCCATCATAAATGATCTATTAAGTGTCTTCATCTTTTCTATTTCTGCAATCACTATATGACCGTATTCCAATCAGATGGTAGAACTTTTGTCCTCGGGGTACACTAGGGTTGCAACATGCCTTCTTAGATATGTTTCTTTACTGGGTCTGAGCCCAGTTGTCCATTAATATGTTGTGTTTTATTTTTATAGTATTTTAACTGTTTATATATTCTTGTAACTAGGCAAGGTGTGTGATGCGGTCGAAGTAGCTGGAAAAAATGTCATGTCAACGTCATCTACTGTAACAACCGAGCTCGTCTCCCACAGGTAAGCTTCACCAGATGCAGCAGTAAATGAAATAAGGCTAGAGTAAAGTAGCAGTAAATTAAATGAAGTAAGACTGAAAGATAAACATGATTCATGTAGACCTACTATTTGGCTCACTTTAAATAAAGAAGCATTGACCAAGAGCTATTGACATTTGTGTTGATTTACATTTATTAACAAGTTAGCCCCAGTTTCATACCCAACATATGTTTGTGGCTGGAATGAATAAAAGGGGTACTCTGTCCACATCTTTATGAAGCAATAGTTGACCGTCTAAGAATTTGCGATGTTAGAAACTCTATATATGAATGGTGTTTATGATTCTGTAATAGTGTGTAAATTTTGGAGTATGTCTGTCCTGCAGGTATGGTGAACAAGCTGGTAAGGCTGCGAACGACGGGCTTGATGCAGCTGGACATGCCATAGGAACTGCGTGGACTGTTTTTAAGATCCGCAAGGCTCTCAACCCAAAAAGTGTTTTCAAATCCTCCACCCTAGCCAAGACTGCTGCTAAGTCAGCAGCTGAGGAAGTAAGGACTAAGAAATCCAAATAACTGGTTGTGGGAAATTCTTCATTTGAAGGATTTAGCAGCCCCCCAAATTTTTTATCCCTCATTTTTTCGCAAAAGGTTACACACTTGCATGGAACGTCAAGGCATTTGTTGCTGTTGTTGATATTGTTGCCGTACTACAGGTAAGGTGAACCATGAAAATATGTTTATCTTTGTAATATAATTCTTGTATTTATAAATTTGATGTTCATATTTGTTGCCTTAGTAGCACAAAACACAAAGCTGTCTTTGGTTCTTTTCTTTTCTTTTTCTTTCTTTCCCATACCAATTGATGTTCATATTTGGAATTTTTCACCAGTGCTCTCGTAGGTAGGATTATCTGTTTGGTAGCATGGTTTGTATCACTCAAATTCGAACATCACAAGACTATCGCAAAAAATATTCGCCCATAAAAGTAAAGAGAATAAAATATTCATTCCACACGACATTAACTATTTGTCGGATGAGTGGAGTTAATTAGTGTTAAATGCATCTTCACCTTATTAGCGATTAGTGACGAGCATGAATGAATGTATTAGCGAAATTCTCACTGTCACGCCTATTATGAAGCAAAAACACAACATGTTGAGTTTGATTCTAGAAAACACATGTTGAGTTCGATTCTTAAAAAACATAACATGTTGATTTCGATTCTAGTCCGATTTTGTGAAATGAAAGGGCTTTCCTTTTCCTCACTATCATTTTGCTCGTGGACTTTGACTGGCATCCACCCCCTTGGAGATTCAACCAACATGGCACCAGTCCACCCATGGAGATTATAATACGTGCTTTAAGCTCAAGCTTTGTCCTGACATTGAGTGGCACCCACCCTCTTCTAGATTCAAGCCATGGTGCAGTTAGCACCATTGCACCCACCAAACAACCTGTGGACCCCATCCTATCGTACCCCATATTTTAGTGTCCAATTATGTAACTTATACGATTTACAAAATGAGAAATTCTGGTATTCCTAAAGTGTTATGATATGGTTGAATGATGTGATTTATACGTGAAAGTGTACAAATAACAGTGTGATAATGTGACCGTCACATCAAACAATTGTTCAAAAGATAGTGAATGGTGGACCCAAACAGCTCTTGGAGGTTGCCATGTGTACACCACTTTCCCGCCCTTTATGGCAAACAACAAACAAACAAACAAAGATTATACATTTCTGTGTACACTAAATTACATGGATAGGTGTTTCAGCTCCTTTAATTCGAGGCCACTAGCTATTCTTGGTCTCATGGACTTTTTCAAGTCATAAGTAACGAATCAAATCCCTCTTTAGTGTAAATCCTTCCACAGATGATATTCTTCTCCAAAGCCAACTTCTACATCAAAGTGTCTCCACTTGATTTGTTTGTCTGATTCTAGATATCAATTATATATCCTCACCCCTCTAACTTTTATGATTAATTGTTGTTATCTCTCGAAATTAAGAAAGAAATATCTTGTAATCGGCATCACAATCATATCCAATATTTTCTTTTTCTCATCTATAGAATTCCAATTGTTGACATTAACAATCTTACCTAAGATCTTTCATCATTGTAACTCAAAAAGCTTGATGAAAAAGAGACAAGTTTTGTGAATCCTATGTACCTAATTAGTCAGTATTATATTTTGAAAATAAGACATCAAATACTCTTAATCACTTAAACTACGACTGCATTGAGCTAATCAACACATTTGAATCCGACCTATAAGTTGTTTGCATATATGCGACTTTAGCTCATTTTGGTGCAAAGCTTGCTGTGATATCAAATGCCATGACTCGCAGTAGATTTCATTGAGATTCAACAAATCATGGAAGAAATAAGTTAATTCTAATCTTTTCAACTTCTTACCTGCATGTTTTTCCAAGTAGGAAACATATATATCAAATGACCTTCGAGCTGGAAGCCATACATGTAACTCTAAATTGGTCAGCAGGCCATTCACTTGTGTATACTCCAAAATCTATACCTTTTTCTTTTGTGTAAAGGTAAAAATCAACAAAATAAGTAAATGAAGAGAAAATATAGATTAATTGTTATCTTTCACTTGTCATACACAAAAGGAAACAGCTGTAACTCCAAGTATGAAAAAACAAATCATTTATCAATATTTCTAGAGAAAGAGGAAGAGCCACTATCTTTTTTTTTTATAAGGATTTTTTCTATTAAGAGGGGTGAAAATAATATAATAAACTCGCATACATTACACTGATGCTAAGACTCGAATCTCAAACCTTGCATGGAGGAGCAATTACTCCAAACCACTACACTAGTGAGTCCTTTGCACTATCTGGTTTTTTTAGTGTGAACAAACTACAAATGGGAAATAGATAATGATATCGTTTCCTACTTTTTTAGTAGGTTATCCTTTTAGCCCAATCAAATATAGGGTTGGGGTAAAAATGTAAAATTTGAAGGTAAATCCAAGATCTTGATTGTTAAGAATAATGTTAGTTTGTAACATATATAAAGCCTTGAAAAAAGTGTAAAATATTTGAAGGTAAATTCAAGATCTTGGTTCTTAAAAATAATGTTAATTTGGCAGATATTAGCAAAAGATCATCATGGGTAGTGAGGTGGATCACAAAACCAGTGTTCTAGAGGATGAACCATGCAAAGTCATAATCCATTTGCACGCCCATATTATGTTTGTATTAATTAGTTCCAATCAATTAATTAATTAATTAATTAATTAATTAGTTAATTAAGCCGCCTTCATCACCTTAGTCTTATCGTAATTAAAAGAGGAATGTTATCAGCAGCTACCCCCACTTGCCCCAAAAACTTATGACTGCTGAGATATTGTTCTTAACTTATCCCCTAAAAAGTTGGGTTACAACATCTTAATCTCACCTAATAATCAGAATTATAATCACTAGATTACAATATGAAATCCTTTTAGCGAATCAAACGGGGTTTGTCATGTTGATGTGGTTACAGTCATCGAAATAGAAACTAAATATTGCTAAACCAAATGATGATTATTTAGTGCTTTTATTTTTAGTAGGTAAGTCGGGTTCGAGTCTGCTTTGTGTCATTTAATAGGGAGTGATTAATTCTCGTTTTATGAACAAAATAAAGAAAAGCAATTAGAAAAAGGAGTTAATTTAGGACTTTGACTCTTGCAGCATATGGTCCATAGGCTTTTTATTCCGTATCATTTCAACCTACCGACTAAATAAGAACACATCATGACAGTTGACAAAATAGAAAGATCCTTAATCAGAGAATCTCCTAATGAAATTCTAGAAAAGGCTCATTCTAGGACCACCTCCATCTTCAGTAAAAATGTCCTCAGTTTCCAACTTTCACCCATTGGCATACATACATCCTAGGGTGAGTGAGTTAGGGAAGCCACCTCTATGTACCTTTCATTTTTTTCTTTTTCCTTTTTACAAGCGATAATAGAAAAGGGAAAACAAATACCGAAGACATAGGTTGAACTACAAGCCACTTGCGCCTTTTACTCACTCGGATTTTCTTTAGATTTGGCAAAGTTTATTGGTAGCACCATAAATCAAGTATTTTCACACAAACTTGATTTGCTTTAAGGAGATTCATTAACAAGAATTAACACCCAGCAGATTAAAACTCAAATTAATGTGTTTAAGAACCAGTTGATAAGGTTGCTTTACAAGGGCATGAGGGGTGTGGGCCCTGGCTAACCCACCTCATGTAATTCTCAAATAGCTGTAATGGCTGTACCAATATACACTTCAATGTCTGGTAGTACAAACTGTGCCTAAAATCCAAAACCACACCAGAGACGCAGAGGTGGAATTTGGCAAAGCACAATTTGGAAAAGGAGTTTAGAGATGTGGCATTGATGCTGTGGATGATGAGGAATAAAAACACCACAACCCCCCCACTCACAGCAATTGCAATAACCAGATGTGCCTCTTGCCTTCAAAAAGTGGGAAATGACACAAGAAAGCAGTATATCATAAACACACCTCCACCCAACAACCCTCTCTCTCTCTCTCTCTCTCTCTCTCTCTCAAACAAAAACACAAGTTTTCTATATTTGCTAATGCGTACTTTTAGTTACAAGACTTGTTATGGCAAAGCAAGCAGAGGAAGGCCTTTTTGATAGTTCTGAATGTTCACCAATTAGAAGCACACCAATGGGAACTCCTTTGAGAAAGGTGTTTGATAAGATTTCAGGTTTTCCTACACCTTGGAGAAGGAACTGTACAATTCCTCAGGGTAGAAGAATCTTTCATAGGGATGTTGAAAGAGACCAGTTTCAGTATGCAAATGCTCGTTGCCTCTCCTCATACTACAGCGTCTTCGTGGCCCGGCTTGCTATCATGGTTAGTAGAATTTCATCATGTTGATGAAGATATAAAGGTTGAATTGGGCTGTCAGAATATGTACTTAAAATAGTAAGCTTGGTGGTGACTTTGTCTGTGCATTGTTCTTTTTCTCTCTGTCTGAGTCATTGTATAAAGGTTGAATTGGGCTGTCAGAATATGTACTTAAAATAGTAAGCTTGGTGGTGACTTTGTCTGTGCATTGTTCTTTTTATCTCTGTCTCAAGTCATTGAAAAAACCCTGTTCTTCAAAGTGAATATTAACATGTGTATTTGTAAAAAAATAAAATAAAAAATCTCACTTTTGCTGATTCATGCATTGCCTTATATTGATGGTTTTTGTGTGCAGGTTATGCTAGCCATTTTAATTGGGCTATTGACCATACTGACTTGGCATTTCACAAGGATCTACACAGCAAAATCACTGAGCAACTTAGCATACGGGCTACGTTATGAACTTCTACAGCGTCCAGTTTTACGGATGTGGAACATCTTGAATTCTACAGCCGAAATAACAGCAGCACAGGTTAAGCTGTCGGAGTATGTAATCAAACGGTACAGCAAGCCTACTACTCAAGCAGAACAAGTTGAGGTTGATTGTTATGCCATTGTCCTGTTCTTGTAATGTCATATATGATTGAGTTGAGACCATTTAGCAATTTTCTTTATTTGATACTTTTCTACTCCTAGCAGCTATACGAATCGATGAGGGCTGTGACATGGGCAATGTTTGCGAGTCGTAAAGCTCTCAATGCAATTACTATCAACTACAGAAATGGTTTTGTCCAGGCATTTCATAGAGATCACAGGAGCAACAACACATACTACATCTACTCTGATCTTGCAAACTATTCAATCAGTGCCAGTGGTGCTTATGATGCTAATATGATGTCAACACATC